CGAGACCAGCATCCCCAACAGTCGCAGCCACACCTGGACCGGGGGTGCCGCCCCAAGGCGAAAGGCCCGGAGCAAGGACCGAATCCGGACCCTCCTCTGCTCGGTCAGCCTCGCCCGCATGGCCACAGAATCTATGGCAATGCCGATAAAATCCACCCGCTGAGTCGGAACCAGAGAACTCTTCTGCAGGTTCACCGTCATCCCCAGCGCCTCGACGTGGGCAAGGACCCTGGCCGTGGCCAGACCCACTTCGCGACACGACGGCGCGCAGACGAGCCAGTCGTCGAGATATGGCAGGACCTTCAACCCCGCCCGACACAGGGGGCTCAGGGCTGCCTTCACGCACCGCGTGAAAACTCGGGGGGCGAGAGACAGGTCGAATGGCAGAACCAGAAACTGGTACACCCTCCCGAGGAAAGAAAATCGCAGGTACTTCCTGTGCCCCGGATGGATCGGGACATGGAAGTATGCATCCTTGAGGTCTATGGTCGTAAACCACTCTCCCGGACAAACCACCTGAAGGACATCGCAAGTCCGAAGCATGCGGAAGGGCAGCACCTTCAGGAACCGATTGAGACCCCTGAGGTCCAGTACCGGCCGCAGGGGCCCGTCCTTCTTGGGCACCAAGAAATACGTCGAATAAAAGCCGTCCGCCTGCAAATGCGGCGGAACGACCTCTATGGCCCGTTTGTCCAGGAGCACATCTATTTCCTGCATCAGGATGCTGACCCGTGCAGGATCTGTGACCGAAGTCACCCTGACCCCCGAAGGGGGTGGGGGCCGACGGCGGAACTGCAACCTGTAGCCCTGGGACATAGTTCGAACCACCCAAGCGTCTCCGCATTGGGCCTCCCAGAGGGCCAGGTGCTGTGGTGTAAACCTGCCCGCCGCCGGCCCACAGCCCTCAGGCCGTGTCCCGACGCCTGTTTGGGGCCCTGGGGGGGCGGCGGCCCCTGTCCTGCCCCGAGGATCCCCGGGGCGGTCCCTGACGTGCCCCCGAGCGTCTCCAAGTCCCTGCCGCAGCCGCGGTCTGCCGGGCGACCTGCACGGGGGCGGCCGGACGAAACCGGCGCCGAGGGTCCCGTGCCCCTCGTGGCCTGGACTGTGGCATGGGGAGGACCCCTACCCCGCTACGCCCACTCCAGGCCTCTGCGGCTTGTCTAGACTGCCGCCGACGTTCCAACGCCCGCTCAGCCTCGGGCCCGAACAACTGGCCCGGCACCACGGGCAGACCGCGCAGGCTCTGTCGGCAATCATCCGACACCGGAGCCTGCGCCAACCAGACCTGACGGCGAGCCACTACCAGCGTGCCCAACAACCGACCAAGCTCCCTGGACATCAGCCCAAATGCTTGCAGGGCTGCGTCGTTCGTATCGCCCAGTGCCATCCCCGCTGCGCCCGACTGCAGCATCTGGGACTGGGCTAGCAACAGCACCGACAGCGAATTGCTGGTGCGTGCCATCCGTGCCCCGATGTCGTAAGCCCGGCACAGTAAGCTGTCGGTCACCCGACACTGGGTGCTCGGACAGCGGACCCTGTCCCTCAATGCCTCATCCGGGGAGAGCACCAGCGAGGCAACGCAGTGGTCCACCGGGGGCATGCGGTCCAACCCGTAGGTTCCTGCCTCCCGCATCGATGCCAGGGTCCTGGCATCCCTACCATGGTGGGAGAGCTGTCTCGGGTCCCCCCAGCACCGCTGCAGCTCCTCCACAAAGGCTGGCGATGGTGGGACCTGAAACGGGGGCGCCGCCGGAGCCCGGCGGAAGAAGGGATTCCCCGCCGGACGGGCCACCGGCACGTCGTCCAGTCCAATCCTGGCCAGTGCCGCTCGCAAAATCGCCCGCAACTGACAGGGGTCCTCCGCCAGCTCCGAGCTTGCTGAGCTATGGAGAGACATCCCCGAGTCACCGTGAGCTCCCAGGCCCGGGGGCTCCATCACCAGCCCCTGACTACGGCCAGGAGAGGGGCCCTCCTCCTCGAGGGACTGAAACTCCGAATTTGAGGCCCTCACAGAGATCAGGTCGTCCGGGCCCCCCTCGTCCGGGGCTCTGGTCAGCAGCGCTTTGAGCTGTTCCACCTCCGCCCGCAAAGAGTCCACTTCCTGGCGAGAGGGTTGCGCCACACGCCGCTTCTTGCGCCTCGGGCTGCCGCGTTCCGCAGCCGGTCTATCCCTCCGTCTCCCGGAACACGGGCGAGGGACACCAGAGGGCGGCAGGTCTGACTCAAACAGGAGGCACTCCACTTGACGTAGCCTGTCCTCCCGCACCGCCAGCGGCAAAATGCTGCAGTTCATGCACGGGTCAGTCAGCGCCTCTCTGAGGTGACCGACGCCCAGGCACTTAGGACACAAGTCGTGGCCGTCCTCCACCTGGAGGGGAGCCCCGCATGACGTACACTCCAACATCCTTACCGGTGTGGGAGACGCCAGCGACTCCACAGGAACTGAGCGAGGACTTCGAGGAAAACTGAAGAACGCGATTCAGTCCTGGAGTTGTAAAACAATGCACGTGTGTGTGTGTCGGCTAGGTAATCTGAGCGTGCCACCACCACGGTCAGAACGTCCAGCCCCACTCACCGGTAACGTTGTAAAACAACACACGTGCGTGTGTGTCGGCTAGGTAATCTGATCGCGCCACCACCACGGTCAGAACGTCCAGCCCCACTCACCGGTAACGTTGTAAAACAACACACGTGCGTGTGTGACGGCTAGGTAATCTGAGCGTGCCACCACCACGGTCAGAACGTCCAGCCCCACTTACCTGTAGCGCTCGCCGGCCGCACTCACCTCCCCTTTCCACAGGGGAAAACCTGCGACCGCCAGCGAGCCCTATCCGAGCCGGCAGCGGCGGTCCGAACGGCGCCGGCCGGCCGCACCACCCGCACTCGGTAACAACTAGCAGATAAATAACAGCGTCAATCCACCGCCCCAGAGGGCTCCTTCGAGCGCTCCGACCACACGGTCCCGGGCAGGAAGACGCCAAGTAAAAACAGTACTCACCTCTCAAGACCGATAAGATCCGAATCACGGACTTACGGAGCGATTGACCAGCGAAGCACGCCAGGCCAACAGCGAGAAGATCAAAGAGACCCGAACGTAGCTATCGGCGTGTAATTTATAGACTCGCGACCAGGTGCGCTACGTGTCACGTGCGTGACTTTGTTTACATTAGTACTCGACCTGCGCAGAGCGCGAGGAGATACATCCACTCTGTTTACTGCCACTGGCAGTCAGGAGGGAACGAAACAGAACTCCCCAGTCACCACTAACTATCCTGTTTGTTTATTGCAGATGGCTGCACTGATTATTTTTTACATGATTTGTTCTGTAAAAGTTGGCATTTTTGGTAGTCTACAGTTTTTTTATGTCAGTTTAAATTACAATTTCAGAGGCAATTCTGAAATATTAAGGATCATGATAAAGATCTATTGGAGATCTACCCCAACTTTTGGACTGCTCTGCCAGTCACTGTGGCTCAAGTTGAGAGGAGCTTTTCAAAACTTGATCAAGTCATACCTGAGGTCACCTATGTTTCAGGGGCGGCTCACTAACCTGGCTCTGATTAGTATTAATCACTCAGTAGGGGAGCAGATTTCATATGATGACATTATTGATGACGTTGCATCAAGGTTAGGTTTTAATTTTAGTTTGTGTTTTCTGTTCTAAGTGCAATGCTGTAGTGATTATCTTTAGTTTGTTATGTGTGAAATATTTTTGCTATTTAGAATATTTATTATATATTATGTTCATATATTCTTAATATTTAGTTATTGTTTGTTTTTGTATATTTGATTCTATAGATTTTGATACAGTATATAATGTATATTGCTTTACATTCTGACAACTTCATAGTAATTAATGTAAATATGTGCAACTTAGAAAAATGAATGTTCAATAGTCGTTCTAATAAAACATGCCTGTTTGTAGAAAACATGCGTGTGTTCATGCAGGTGGGGTGGTGTGGTGGTGGTGGTGGGGGGGCGGTTGGGGGTGGGGGGCGCTCAAAGGGGGCCTCGCCCTGGGAGTAATTCGATGTAGAACAGCCACTGACTGTTTCAGTCAAGTCAGTATTAGAAATCGTGGTCTTTATATCATATCTCAATTTTGTATAAAGTTAAGATTATTACTTTAACTGTTTTAATAAACAGGGAGACTAGAAAAATCAAATAGCTAAGTTAAAGCTAAGCTACATTTGCTGATTGCTTTGTTGATGCAGCTTTTGCGTTAGCTTGTGAACTCTCTGCATTAGTTTTAAGACTGCGTGTTAATATAGATGGTTAATATTGATACAATTAGCTATGACACACGGTGCCTTTGCAATAATTCTCTGGTAAAGCTTTAAATACTATAGTGCCTACATTTAAGAACTAAGAACGGTTACAAACGTTAGTTAATTTCATCCTTACCTTTCCTCTTTGAAATCCATCAAGTATGGTTGAAACAAAACCACAAAAACAATGTAGATCTTTCGCTCGTCGATTTTCCGGTAAAAGTAATGACACGCCATCTTGTTCACACTTGAAAGTTCTTTCTGGTGACACGCCAGCTGATGTCTGCAGCCAGGTCCTACTCAAATAATGATTATCCGGTCATATGACACACATCAGATCAATTGATCTTATGGATAATTTCATGTAGCTTATGTCCTGAAGAAGGTCATACAAGACCAAAATGTGTCGGCTTTTTCTTGCTCAATAAAATACAATCCTCAGAGTGCCTCAGATCACCTGGTTTTCTTCATCATCCTCTTTTAATGATCTAATAGATCCTGATGAGCTCCTGAGATACATATTTCTTATTTATCTATCCCACAGATGTGCTCACTCCCATCTGTTTTTGCTATTAGGAAATAAGAGTCCAAACGTCGTCTTTGGCTCTCCTCTGATGTGGCTCACTTCTAGTCCCTGAAACAGGTGCACCAGAGATTGTTTTCCCCTGGGGTATGACTTACAAGTAAATACGTCCTAATAAAGGCCACTGCCAATTAAACATTTGAGAAAAGTTGATCTTTAATGAAAATATTACTTTTTAATCTATTTAGGAAATGTCTGCTTGCAGATTAGAGGTAGATAAGGGTCTCAAACATTTTTCTTAATGAGATTTGAGAAAATAAATTTTAATCTATTATCAGCTACAAGAAAAAAGATCCGAGTCACTCTTTCTCCCGTCGTGTTTGCTGTATTTAGTCAAAATGATTCTCACAAGTTAGCTTTTTAATAAAAATCAGAAAGAGTTTATGGTTCCATTTATGCTGAAATAGAAATAAAGGAATCTGAATCTTTAAAGACTAACACTTTGGATAAGACTTAACCTTTCACATTGTAAAAATATTTTAATTTGTGCTGGATTTACACTCTTAATACACTCCAACCACTGGGACTGAATGAGGACTTTGAAATGTCTCTATTTCTCCAAGTATAATATAATATATATGGCAACTTTTAATGTAACTTCATTGCCTTGCTCTATGATGGTTTTCCAGCTTGATGCCTGCGGTGTATTAATCTCTTTCTCCTGATAGATGATTTGGAAGTGTTTTTAAAAGATTTTGTTAACTTCTTGTGTCAAGGCAATATGTTATGTGAAAGGGACTCCATCCCCCATGATGCCTTGTGTGGAAATGACACAGGTGTTCGACATCAGCTGCTTTTTCCTTTGATAGGAACTCTCTGTATGAGCATTTGCAATTCCTGATGAAGGTCTGTTGACCGAAAGCTTGAATAAATACAACATTTTTGCAGATTGAAATGTGCTGATTTTGTTCCTCTTCGATTTGTTGGAGCATAAAAATGTTAAAGAGCATAAAAATGTAAAAAAGCTTCTGCTGGAGAGACAAAGGTCTGTGTTGGGTAAATAAAATTATCCAACAGTCCGCTATCGAAATGTGGCTGAGGGTGGTACAGGATCACCACAAGGGCCGAAAGGAGGAGGTGAAGTAAGTCCAGCAGCTATGTGTGCAGGATTTAAACACCAGCCAGCATTCCTGATGAGTCTGCAGGTCATTGATAGAAACCTTTTTTTTTGTCATAGATTATGAAATCTGCAAATGTGTAAGAACTTCCTGTTTGTATTTCAGACACCCTTTAGGGAACTCCATAAAATCTCCATGTATGGAAAATAGAAACCTGTGTTTTATACATGGAAAAGTGTGCCTTGCCAAATAAATAGTAATGTAACAGTTGGGAAATTATTGATCTCATGACGATAAAGAACATGTAATCATTTTATATTGCATTTCAGAAATTTCTTAGTAGAACATGCAATAAACATCAATGCCTACCCATTTTTTAGGATCACACTTGCTATCCTCATCCCCACCTGTATCTATTTGGCTTTGAAAAACCTTGATCTCCAAAAATACATTTTCCAAGCTAAAAGAAAAAAAATCTCAGTAGGATTTGATTCCGCTGTGTGTTTTCAGCTTTGAATTACAGAGTAATTATTATTTTGCCCTTGGAAGAATTTCCATCCATCCCGTCTTTGCATGTGCTCTGCAGCCCTCCCCATAAAGCAGACCACACACACTCGTCAGGTAACCTCAGCCATTTCAGTGGCGACTCCTGTAATAGAAATGTGTGGTTTGAAATACCAATACTGATGCATCAGAATACGAATGAATCCCTCTTAAAATACCCTGGAATTAAAGTTTCTCACCACCCATTTGTGGTATTATTGGAAATGCTTGAAATACTTCAAAAGAAGCTTTACAGGGTGAAAAACCATGTGTCATTATTTAACACGTGTTTCTGTTTTACAGGCTGGAAGACCGAGAAGCGTGTGTAAAATGAAGACAAATGATGATAACCAGATTGACTCAATTTATAGGAAAACCTGACTTCTCTTTCTACATGCCTGCTGTGATTCAGTATCAGCATGCAACTAAAAGTCTGCAGCACCCAAAGGGACCACAACCTCAGCTTCCACAGCTTGCCCCTGGCTGGAAACTACAGAACAAGACTTGTCAGGACGTTTCTGGACTTCAGATGTACAAATACACCCCGGAATCTGGACACCATGCTGCTTTTATCCCACCTGAGGTGCATCTCGAAAGCCAAATTGGTGACCTTCCTGGTGGGATTGACACTGATGTTCTTTATCATGGCTTCCTATATCCTGATGTGGGACAAGGAAAGACTTCCTCTCACTTCTATTCCTTATCAGGTCAGACCTGCGGACACCAGCACAAATACAGCAGACGTTTTGCTTGACAAGAGTTTTATGGACAGAAAAATGTTGCTGAATATCAACTCCAAACTGCAGTACACATCCAGGAAGGTGCCTGATAAGAAGGATATTGTTGACACAAATCCCCATGTAAGTCCTGGAGCTTGTTTCTGCTTGCATAAGGTGATGCATTTTCCACTTTAAACTCTTAAATGTGCACAAACGATTTGATAAAAGCTAATTCTGGAAATAAGCCTCAGCTATTTAAACTTATAATCACCACTGCGGTGAATATCATCCCAGTAAAGCACATAATGATGAGTTTTTGTAAGCAACACTCTCATTAAGTGTTGTTAAAGGCCTACCTGTGGTCTCCACTATGACATGCAGCTCTGCTGTGCTCTCATTAGAGATTTCCAGGTCTGTACGTCTTCAGAAAGGGCACCGTTGCTTCAGTTGGAGAGGTGATTTAAGTTGGAATAACACATGTTGTAACACATGAGTCATCGCATTAAACGGCAGTTGGCAATGAGTCATTCATGCTGGATCTGATCAAGCGTCACACAAAGAGTGTAAAAAGGTTATGAAGCAACAGTAGCTGATGAATCCCACAGAATCTGTTTTTGGTGCTTTTTACGTCATAAAACACAACAAAAGCATGGCTTGATTTCACTTTTTTTCCACGTTCCTCTTCAGCTGTTCTCAGTGATCCCTCGCCATTTCTTCCCGGGTGTCAAGAGTCCATGCTGGTATCAGGAGATCTCAAAGGAACTCGGCTCAGACCCGTACAAAAGCAACCGCTTCACTCTGCGCTCAAAGACTTTCAAGAACATTTGCGACCACATGAGAGTCGACTTCCACCAGCACGTGTGGCGCAGAGATGGCAGGCGGTTTCGTCTGCGTTGCTTACCCTACTTTTACATCATTGGCCAGCCCAAGTGTGGAACAACAGACTTGTTTCACAGGCTGTTGATGCTTCCTGAAGTCAAGTTCAACATAATAAAGGAGCCGCACTGGTGGACCAGGAAACGCTTCGGTAAGGCAGACGGAGATGGATTCGCTTTGTAGCAAATTGATCATCTGGATCGCTGCAGAAACCTTTAATAGTGTTAATAATAAACATGCACTATTGCCTGATGACTGAAAGCTTGAGGCTGTTTAGTTGCTAAGCAACAAGCAGAGACTACAGGAAGTCACTTCTGATGGCTGAGAAATGAACAGCAGCAACAACAAACTGACTCATTTAAAGTAAACAGTAACATGTTAACAGCAGGTCTCACAGGGATCTGGATATGTTTTGAAGTAACTTGGAGCAGAAACTTGCTAGCTGTTTATATGTGAGAAATGTGGTGCTTGTGCTATTATAAACACAGAACTCAGAGCAGAAAAATAATGAGATTTTTCCAAAGAGTCAAAACGTTCATCCCAGTGCTAGCTCTACTCTTCTAGCTCAACTGAGTTTTCATTTTAATTGATTACTTCCACAAATGGACCCTTAATCACAAAACATAAATCACTTATATTTTACACTTATGAAACAGAAATGGATTAATTTTATTTTGTTTGTTTTGATATTCCTTGTGGTGCAGGTTATATTCGTTTCAGAACAGGCTTCCAGGAACGTTTTCCAATAGATGATTACTTGGATCTGTTTGATTTGGCGGCACAAAGCATCCAAGGAGGAATCTATGGAAATTCATCTGGAGACCACCATGCACTCCAGATCATAACAGGTGAACACATGTGAAAAATTAATGGATGAAGAAAATCCTTTCATGCCAGTGTCTGATTTATTTAGTCACCACATTTATGTCCAACCATGCAGTAAGAAAAAGGAAAAAAAATCCATCATGAGACAAAAATAAATAAATAAATAAATAAATAAATAAATAAATAAAATAAAAAATAAAAAAGAACTAACACAGATGAGGGTTGGTTAATTTAAAACAAAATGTAATTAAAATTTCAAATAAAAAATCTGATTTTTGTTTTTATTGGATTTTGGAAGTATTTTAAAGCAACACTTCATGAGTTTCCTGATTTTCCTCCTACTAGTTAAAATCGGAATTACAATTGTCATAAACAACTCGCTGTAGCTAGAGCTGACAACAAGCTAACACTAATGGGCCATTCCCATCTGTACTGGGTCGGCCCGGGCTGGGTAGCCCCAGTCGGCCCCAGCCTGGCCCGGTTGATTCCACACATCCTCACCTTAAGCCCATGTGGGCTGATTCTACCCACCAATCAGAGGCTTGCTCTAATGGAAGGTGTGAATTTGCTGTCAGCAGTGGGTGTGTTGGCCCTGGTCGGCCTGAAGCAGACCCCCTTGAGAAGAGGGCTGACAATGAGCCTTGGTTGGCCCGGAAAAATACCAGGCCACCCTAACCTACGCTACCCGGCCCGGGCCGACCCAGTACTGATGGGAATGGCCCTTAACACAGGACAAGTGATACTAAATATACCACATAGTCAAAATATCCGCACTGTTAACTCATTCACTGCCAATGATGACTAAAGTTGTCATTTGCATTTGTTTTACTGTTTGAGCATCGGAACGAGCACCCGTGCTGAGAGAACATCTCAGCCTTGAAGCCGATCTTCATCCACATACGTCACATGTCACGTGATCAGGAAGCAGAACATCCATGTGTTAGGAGATCGTTTTGGGCCGTTCCTGTAAAATAGTGAGGCGCGAACTGGAAAAGCGTCTGCCAATCACAATTCGACAATGGATTACGAAAGAACAGATAAGGTTCGAAACACGCGGATTCTTCCTGATGGAAGAGGTGAGTCTCCTTTTTGTTTTGGTTGTTTTGGCGTCAACATCATCCTAGTGCGCAACGTTCTGTGACTCTTAAAAAAACAGTAAAAACGGTGAGAAACGCTGGCATCGAAGGCCGTTAGCGATCAGGAATCGGCTGGCAGTGAATGAGTTAAATGAAAAATATTATTACTTACAAGTCCAGTAGCAACAAAGCCAGGTCAGCATATGTCCTTGATTTCGTAGCCTCTTTAAGCTCTCTCAAACGAGTGAAGACTGCGCCAATGTTCACACTGGTTTTAGCTGTTTTCTCCACCTCCAGAGACTCTACTCTTTTACTTACAGACCGTACCCTGATGCCAACAACAACAAAAAAAATTATTCTTCTTGTACTTTTTATTGACAGTCAATGAATTGCAAAGCTAACTGCTAGCCTTTATGTGAGCTACTGGCACAGCAAAGAGCTATTGTCATGAAACGGGTCACGACCTTCCACTATTGCTTTCCTACTCAAACCACAAAACTGTTAGATGCAGTTTCTGGTCAGCAGAGGGCTACAGAGGGCTGTCAAATGCAAAGTGGCTCAAGATGAAACCAGTTTGAACGCAATAGCTTAAATTCCTAAATACTCTTTAGTGTTGCTTTGAAGGTCTTTTTTGATGAGTTGCAGATCTTTTCTGGGCAATTGGTAAGCAGTGCCTTGAACCACACACTGATGATTAGTATTTTTTTTTCATATCCATCTTTGTGATGATACTTTTCTTATCATCCTGTTCATCTGACAGTAAGATGAGTTTGTTAGATATATGGGAAAGTTTACGAGCTTCTGCATCTAATCCATATTTTGCTTTTGGGCATTCTGTACCTTGATTGGAGGGACATCTGAATGGTAAATAGAGCTTCTCAGCTCTGATACCCCTGCCTGGTATGGGCAGACTTGTGGAAGCTGGTCTTAAAAGTGCTAAATAAACTGCTTTGAAACCGCATGCATTGGTTGTCGGCTTGTTTCCACAGGTGAAGCCAGTGCTTCCACTATGTGGGATAATCAGGCCTGGAGCTATCTCCATGGAGACATTAACAAATCAGAGCCTCCTTTCCTGGCTCAGGACTTCATCCATGCAGTCCAACCTGGTGCCAAAATCATCATCATGCTCAGAGATCCAGTGGAAAGGTGAGAAAGAAAGAAAAACATCTTCCCAACACCTGTTTTTATAGTCACAATTGTGATTCTTGGTATTTGGAGAGTTGTTATTACCCATGAAGAGCTTCTCAGTGATTTATAGCAATTATTATAATTTCCTCTTATTCCTCTCACTCCTCCCAGGCTTTACTCAGACTATTTGTACTTTACGATGGTCAACAAGTCTTCAGAGGATTTTCATCAGAAGGTCATAGAGTCTGTCCATTTGTTTCAGCGCTGTCTCTCCGATCGGTCCCTTCGTTCCTGTGTCTACAACACCAGCCTTTACAACACCATGCCTGTAAGCTCAAATTCAATTAAAAATACTTTATTAATCTCAGAGGGAAATTAGAGTTTCAGTACACACAATTCTGAGATCAGGCATGCATACATAGACACATGACAAGAATTGCTGACTGTGGTCATTCGCAACCCGAGTCGCGTTACCGTAATAGTTCAAGAGGGTTTATATGAGGATAGAGTCGGGGGGGGAGGGGGAAAAAGGCACTTCAGCGTTACCCTCAACAGAGAGGGTAGCTTTGCTATGCAAGAAAGCATGTCAGACAGATATGCACACAGACTTCAGACATTACACAACATAAGTGTCCACTAGGTCCACTTCAGTGCGTGCAGCCGCATGGAGCAGCGCTCATCACCTCCGTTTGGACAGGGGAGGGAGATAATGGGTTAGAGGGCACATTGACTCCTAGATACAGTTCCACGATTCAAATGGCTGCATCCATATTTATTGACATTTGGGTGGGGGTGTTGTTGTTTTGTTTGCTGGTTGTATTTTCAGAGTCAGCAGTGAGATTTTTGGCTGGTCAAATTTGTCTTTTTAAATTTGTTTTACTGTTGTGAACCATCTCCCTCTGGTGGCGTTTATGTGTTACTGCAGTTAAGCACAACAAACAAAAATACTGTTGCTTGCTATGTCTTTGCTATTTCTGATCATAATGAACATGTTCAAGCATTTAAAAATCATGTGTGAATATACTGGATGAGGAACACTTTTGCAGCAGTTCAAGAGCTTCATTTTTACATAATTTTGTTGCTTCGATTGTAAAGAACTCAAAGAAATAGGCCTTTTTTTGTAATTTACAATATTTGGCTCTGACATAAATTCCTACTCCCTTGCTTGATGACTATTATATCAACATATATAGTTCCAATTTCATCAAGTAAGTGGTTTCTAGCAAACACATTTAAGTACTTACAGCACTGATGAGGAATAGGAACTCAAGGACCTGCATGTTTTAGATGTTTCCTCTCTCAGACAAGCCTGATGCAATAGCTCAAGTTAGTAGGTCAAATTCTGCAGAGGTCTTTTAATCACTCATCCGTTTAAATTATGTTTGCCTGAGCAGAGAAATTAGTGAAAAATGCTGGTGCTTGAGGACCGGGATTTCACAGTTCATTACATGTCAACATGCTGATGTTTATGCTGTGAAAGATGTCATCATATCGCAAAGAGGCATTGGTTTGTTTGTGATTATATGGGTACGTGACACATAGATACAGGATGCATACAGTCACAATAAATAGTTTTGGATCACTTAAAAAAAATCCCCCAAATTATATTTTTGCATGGTTGGATCTAAAAGTTCCAAGTAGTGCTTCAACATTCAACATGATGAAAAGGGAGTGAGACAAAACACTTTCTGAGCAGTGATTTATTGAAAATGTTGCTTAAATGGGACAGGCTGTTCTACAGCTGATCAAAGGTTTAAGATCATGCCTTTAAAAGGCCCAAAATGTGCAAAATGTGGATTTGCGTAACTTTCTGTCAGGTAGTCATGATGTTTGGTTGGCAAATGCAAAAAAAAGTTCTCATTTTGAATGTCGGCTTGTTAAAATGCATAAGCACGGCCTCTTGCAGCACACCATCGCTTCTGAGGTGGGATGGTGGATCCAATAGGTTGTCCATCAAGACACTGGACGATCTTTGATGCAGCATCAGGCCTTTACTGGTGCTGACTAGGGCTGCAGCTATCGAATATTTTTGTAATCGAGTACTCTATCGAATATCTTTTTCGATTAATCGAGTACTCTAATAAATTACCCTTTTGTATTTGTAAACCATTATATCAAATAGCATGTTATAATTATGAAAGACCTGTTAAAATGAGCAAGCAATTGCCAGTTATTCTTCAAGTTTTATTCAAAATTAGTTTTCAAAACTTCAGCACTTCAACTTTACTTCACAGTAAACAAATGGCTGTGCAAAAAATAAGTACACAACCTGGGCAGATTTTCCCCTCGTGCGAGAATCTGCTAGCCTGCAAGCCAGACAGAAACTAGGAGGATAACTGTTGAAGTAGCGCTGCGAGCAGGCTGCGGCCCAAACAGAACCAGAACCGCTCACGGCGCATGCGCAAACAGCTCGCCGGCTGTTTCCCTATTAACACACGTCCGTTTTAATTTCAACACTTTTTTTACTCACACAATAACAAGGATTGTCGAGAAAGCATGTTTGCTGTGGTTTTTTCAAATTATACTGATCACAAAACATTTATTTACTTTCTTTCGTTTTCCTCTCATAAATACCCATGTCCTCCTGCAGCAATCCCGAGGGACAACAAACATCAATAACACAATAAAAAGTCCGACGTTTTGTGTAAAAATGCTATTTTTTAGCACATTTTAAGTCCGACGTGTTGCTACCAGATGTATGGTGTGAGCTTAAACTGAGTGCTACAAACGAAAAAGTCGCACAGTGTCCGCAGAATATATAGAAATACAGGCCAAAAAGCATTATCTTGTAGAGGCTCCGAGTCCGCTTGCAGAAGTGACATTTACAGGCGCTGCAGCAGCATGGAGGATGTGGTGTTGTGGTAGGCTAAATCCATTTTACAGTATTTACACTGGACTACGTTTTCCGCCTAACGACGTGAAAAATTGTCCCACACCTTTGACATTTTCTGTCTTTTTCGCACTCTACCGGGGTCCACGTTGTCCGCCATGGCTGAAGAGAAAGTTAAGTTACATTCGCTACTCGCGTGTCCAGTCCAGTGGGCATGTGCGTCACTTATTTCAGTCCGGGTGAAACATGACCACGGGCGACTGCAAAGCCACGAATTAATTAAATATGAATTAAACGAATCCTCGAGGCAGAGAATTTGACTCGAGGATTTTTGTACTCGAATTATTCGAGGTACTCGAGGAATCGTTTCAGCCCTAGTGCTGACTGCAGCCCCGAAACCATCAGACGGTATGTGAGACTGAAGAGACAACAAATGTCTTCAAAGGCCTCGTCTCCTTGAACACCACAGAGCTTGATCAGCTGTAAAACAGCCTTATAAAGTAATGTTTTCAGTAAATCACATGGTCAGAAAAGGTTTTGTCTCACTCCCATTTCTTCTTGTTGGATGTTGAAGCTCTAGTTTACCAACCATGCAAACTATGAATTTTGGTCATTTTTCAAGTGGTCTTAAACTTGTTGTTTGGATTAGTCTTGATGTATTTTTTATATTTCTGTGATTTATGATTTATTGAAAAGGTTTTAAAAATAACTTTGTAGAAATTTTAGAAATGTGAGCATTTTTATTTGCCACTTTTAAATGTTTATTCAAAAGATACATTTGTGCTTTTATTTCTTTTACAGGTGAGACTAACTCTGGGAATGTACTTTGTCTTCTTACTGGACTGGCTGACGGTTTTCCACAAAGAGCAGATTTTAGTTCTCCGACTGGAGGACTATGCAGCAAATCTCAAAGAGACAATTAAGAATGTTTTTGATTTTTTAGATGTAGGTATGTGATGGACAACAGCCATAAAAAATGTCCATTAACGTGAATTGATGAGTTTTGTTACATCTACCATGTTGCTCTTCCCTAACAGGCCCTCTGTCAGCAGACACTGAGGCAGCACTGACCAAAAGGCCCATGTCCAACACCAGAAGGACTCAAGACAAGAGCCTTGGTCCAATGCTTCCATCCACTAGAAACCTCCTAAGCAGGTTTTACCAGCCCTTCAACCATGAACTGGCCAGTGTCTTGGACAGCAAAGCCTTCCTCTGGGGTTACAGCTGAATGTTCCATCTGCTGTAAAAAGGGAGCAACAAGCCACAGCTGGAATGGTTGCACAAATAATGTTCCAGAAAATTATTGATATTTATTTGCTTTCTAAAAAATTATGTGCATCATCTAATGGTGATAATTAAATAAACATATTTTTATTTGACCAAGTTCTCTCATCATTATTACAAATTATATTCATCTATAATTTCTTGATAAAGCACCAAGTATGAGGTTGCTGGATGGGCTTCTCTCCTGGACCTATTAATTCTGAATGAAAGGTGGAAAATTGATGAATGTTGTGATGATTGTATTTGATTATGATTGCAAAATCAATATTTGAATGCCTTAAGCTGCCCCCTAGTGGTTGACACGACAGCAGATTTGCTGTTTAAGTTATTTCTGAGGTTGTACCTTATTCTTATTAGTCCGGCAAAAACGCCTTCATAGACATGCAATGCATAACATTTATAATGGGTAAATTATTTTCACTGAAGACCTGTAGCAAAATAGCACATATGTTAAATGTAAACGTAAATCAGTACAGCACATATTTCACAGACTCTGCAGGATTTTGTAACCTAAGGAAAAAGAGGATGGGAAATATTTTATTTCTGGTAAAGAAGGGAAGACACAAAAGAACCACAAGAGGGTGTTAAAATACAAAATAAAGCTCAAAGGAAACTCTTTTTGCTGCCTTTTCTATGATGTCTCAGGTGTTTGAGGTCATGCCTCAGTTTATAAGCTCTGGCATAAAGTCACCAATTTTCCTCGTTCATCAGCGCATGATTTATTCGTAGATACATTCAACCAACCAGTTCTAAAGTGTCAAATCCATTTTAGAATGAATAAAAAAATCAAACCCCAATCTTCCATGAACCAAAATGCACATTTATTATAGAATCTGGACATGTTAGCTGCACATATTCATACATAAACAAAATATATATTTTTTCATCACTGTTGTGATTCACAGTAGTCAGTTTTTTTAGGAAAAGCTGCCGAGTAAAACAAACTGTCATCAATTTCCTTTTCTGTGAAACTTTCTTTTGCTTTGACTAATATTACTGAAAATTTGAAACAGCGTGTATTTCTGACTGCTAGAAGTGCAAGACTTTACAAAAAATGACCAATCAAAGTTTTAGATAGGATAGCGTTACCATGAACTTATCGATTGTTCTTCTGATTTTGCACTTACTTACACAGCTCCAGCTCATCCACACCTGTCATTACTCTGTTTTCTTCACATCAGTTTGACGCTCACTGTCCTCCTCACTAGTGAAGCTGATATTTTTTCTTAGTCTGGTGTTACAATAGATCACATAAATCTGATAAGATTCTGTCCAACAGGAACACTGAATTATTTTGAGTAAAGAAGCACCAAGCCATGCCTCACACAATTCAAACTTTATATCATCATTGGCAATACATGAAAAATTCATGAATCTGCGTGACTAAATGCATCAGAACAGTCATTGCTTCAAAAAAGGTTCAGAAAGTTACCACTTTTCTTTATATTTTTTGTTCCATTAACTCATTAACCCATTAAATTTCACTGTCTTGATTCCATTTGACAGTTTCCACACAGCAGGGGGTAGATTAACAAGTTGGAGGAGAAAAAAAGGCAGCTGAAAATGCTGAAGCATCCTTACCTCACTGATTAGTGAACCATTTGAAAATTGTAATGAATGATGATCCATCGGATACATTTGGACCAAAATTGCTTAAATGTAACACAAATAAATTGTTTGTGAGGCAGAAAAAACAGGGGAGATTCAATGAATGGTTTTAGAAAAACAAGTTACATTAAAGTCCAAGCATTTGTAATGGAACTTTAAATGTTTATTTGTTTAACTTCAATACAAGATGATGAGTTATTTGTACCATTTGATTCATAAATAATGTATGCCTTTTAATTTGGTTAAAAGGGCCATACTGTTAGTTCTTTTCCTAAGTTATAATATGGCCGACGATACCAAACAGGTTCATGGAGTTCTTTTGTCCAAATCTCTCTCATATAAAGGGATTTCAGCGGATTTATTCTTGATTGTTTCAGGACCTTCCAGAATGAGCCATTTCACAACTCTGACACTTTAAAGGAGTCAAACTTGAGCTAGGCTAATAAGTAAAAAAGTAAAAAAAAATCTGTGGAAATAACTTAACGGTTTAAAAAACGATACCCTGAAACAAATTGGTCAGTCATATGGGACAAAAATCTGATTTTTTTTCAAATATATAATAAAACAAATTGCACTAAGACACATGTGACTCTAGGGGGTGCTGATTCCTACTGAACAAACGTAGTGCTATTTTGTATTGTCAATGTCATCAAAATCTGATTTAAGGTTAACACAGTTTTGCAAGGCTAAAAAAGGGCTGGTTAAGGTAATGCAAGGGGGTTGGGGTCACTCTGTTGGAATCTGGTTTCCCAGTCACTATTACACCCCAAAACTTTATTCTGAGACTTATTCATTTACACACTTAAACCTAAAATTTTATCCCTCTAATATTTTTTAGTTATGGATGTCATGACTCCCATCCTTCACCCTCCTCTGCCTCCTCATTCAACCTTCATTCAGCTCACCTGGACCCTTCACCAAGCTCCTGACAAGCCCTGAATCCCTGGCAACCACAATCAACTCCATTCTTCTCACCTGTTCCTGTCATCAGCTTCATCCACTTCACCTGCTCCTGACTCCTCAGCTCATGTCACACACCTGCTTCCCCTGCTATAAAAGAACAATCCTGCTATCCAGTCTCTGCCAGGTTATTGAAAACTTTGTGCCAGTAAATTCTCTAGCCATCCACCCTGCCTGATCGCTGCCTCCGGACCTCGTTTTTCTCCTGACCCCTGCCTTGTACTCTGCCTGCCATTTTAACCTTCGCCTGTCTCCGACTCTGTCTCCAGCCTCGCCCATCTGGTAACTCCACCAAAAATAAAATACTTTTTTATATACTTTAACTGTGTTTGGCGTCATTACAGGTCTTCTGAGTTCAGCTCATGACAGAATAATCTGGCCAAAACATAGACCCGACGCCGGCAGTATTTAGGAGCTTAGTCAACTTTTTTTTTCTTTCTCTAACCTGTCATGGAAGATCTCACTCTCCTTGAGTTTATGGAGCTAGACCGGGAACAGGAGTCACTGCTCTGGGGAACAGGTCTGGCATTCAGACCACTGCCGCACAGAGGTTCCACCCCTCCTGTCGTTGGGCCGCTCCAGCCTCAACCCCTTTTTGTCAGGCCATGTCGGCGGTGGTCCCGGAGGTCTTCTGGAGCTGCTAAGAGGGTTGATCCTTCCCCCGCTCTGGTGTTGGTGGGTTCCTCTGATGACACCTCAGGTTTTGCTTCTAGGCCGGCCCCACCTGAGGAGGCAGTTCAGATGATGGTGCAGATGATCGAGGACGCTATATGGGAGATCTTTGCCAGACCATCCTGCCCCCACGTACGATTAAGGGCGGCTGAGAAGTTAAATACCATCTTGTTATGGGCTTTGAGTAATTGTTTTCTCTGTTACCGGGGACTTCACACAACTTCGGGTCACAGGTCGATGATAGATTTTGTAGTCGTATCATCTGACCTGCGGCCGTATGTTTTGGACACCCGAGTGAAGAGAGGGGCAGAGCTGTCAACTGATCACCACCTGGTGGTGAGTTGGATCAGATGGCAAGGGAACATGCCGCGTAGACCTGGCAGACCCAAACGCATAGTGAGGGTCTGCTGGGAACGCCTGGCAGAAGACCCTGTCAAGACGGTCTTCAACTCCCACCTCCGGCAGAGCTTTGACCACGTCCCGAGAGCAGCGGGGGACATTGAGTCCGAGTGGGCCTTGTTCCACTCTGCGATTGTCGAGGCGGCTGTTGCTAGCTGTGGTCGTAAGGTGGCCGGTGCCAGTCGTGGTGGCAACCCCCGTACCCGCTGGTGGACACCAGAGGTTCGGGGAGCCGTCAGGCTGAAGAAGGAGGCCTACAGGGCGTGGCTGGTCTGTGGGTCTCCGGAGGCAGCAGACAGGTACCGGATAGCCAAGCGGGGTGCAGCAGTGGCAGTTGCCGAGGCAAAATCTCGGGCGTGGGAGGAGTTTGGTGAGGCCATGGAGAAAGACTATCGATCGGCTCCAAAGAGGTTCTGGCAAACTGTCCGGCGCCTCAGGAGAGGAAGGCAGCAACTCGCTCACACCGTTTACAGTGGGGATGGGGAGCTGCTGACGTCAACTGAGGCTATAGTCGGACGGTGGAAGGAATACTTTGAGGAGCTCCTCAATCCCACCAATGCGCATTCCGAGGAGGAACCAGAGCTGGGAGGCCTGGGGATGGACTGTCCGATCTCGGGGGCAGAAGTTGCTGAGGTAGTCAAACAACTACACAGCGGCGGAGCCCCGGGGGCGGATGAGGTTCGTCCTGGGTATCTCAAGGCTATGGATGTTGTAGGGCTGTCATGGTTGACACGTCTCTACAACATTGCGTGGTCATCGGGGGCAGTTCCTAGGGAGTGGCAGGCCGGGGTGGTGGTCCCCATCTTTAAGAAGGGTGACCTGAGGGTGTGTTCCAACTATAGGGGGATCACACTCCTCAGCCTCCCTGGAAAGGTCTACTCCAAGGTACTGGAGAGGAGGGTCCGATCGATAGTTGAATCTCAGATAGAGGAGGAGCAATGTGGTTTTCGTCCTGGCCGTGGAACTGTGGACCAGCTCTATACCCTTGCAAGGGTGATGGAGGGGGCATGGGAGTTTGCCCAACCAATCCACATGTGCTTTGTGGATTTGGAGAAGGCTTATGACCGTGTCCCCAGGGGCACCCTGTGGGGGACGCTCCAGGAGTATGGGGTGGGTGGCTTTCTGTTGAGGGCCATTCAGTCCCTTTACCAGAGGAGCGTGAGTTTGGTCCGCATAGCCGGTAGTAAGTCGGACCTGTTCCCAGTGAGGGTTGGACTCCGCCAGGGCTGCCCTTTGTCACCGGTTCTGTTCATCACTTTTATGGACAGAATTTCTAGACGCAGCCGTGGTGTGGAGTGTGTCGAGTTTGGTGGCAGGAGAATCTCGTCTCTGCTTTTTGCGGATGATGTGGTCCTCCTAGCTTCATCCAGCTCTGACCTTCAGCTCTTGCTGGGTAGGTTCGCGGCCGAATGTGAAGCGGCTGGGATGAGGATCAGCACCTCCAAATCTGAGACCA